GACATTCAGACTCACCACGATCACGTTAGACAAGTTCTGCAGACCTTGTTAAAGAATCAACTTTATTGTAAATGAGAAAAATGCATCTTTGACCAATCTGAAGTACATTTTTTGGGTTATAATATCTCTGCCTCGGGGATTCAGATGGATCCTAAAAAGCTGGAATCGGTTCTACAATGGCCTTTGCCCACTGGGTTGAAAGCCATTCAAAGGTTCATTGGTTTCGCCAATTATTACAGAAGATTTATAAAGGGATTTTCTTCAGTAATAGCCCCCATCACCAATATGACACGCAAGGGGGCTAGTAGTAGTACGATATGGTCTAAGGAGGCAATTGAAGCCTTTGAAACTCTCAAACAGCGGTTTGCTTCTGCCGACATATTGATACATCCTGACACCAGTAAGCTGGAGGTTGATGCTTCAGAAACAGGGGTAGGGGCAGTTCTCTCCCAGGGGGAGAGCCAGGAAACTCCGTTACATCCTTGTGGTTACTTTTCTAGAAAGTTGTCTCCTGCTGAGCGCAATTACGATATTGGCAATAGAGAATTGTTGGCCATTATTCTAGCTCTCAAGGAGTGGCGACATCTTTTAGAGGGTTCCAAGGACCCCCTTTTGATCATTACAAAATGTATTGATTGGGGATAACCTATCTAAAAATGTTTTTTTCTCCAAGCTTTTAGACAATGTCCTCTGCTCTTACAAGCCCAGCAGCTACAGCGCATGCGCTGTGGTTGCTATTTAAAAATTTCTCTAGCACCACTAGGGATATAGGAATGGAGTGATGTGACTTCACTCTGTTCAGATGCTGGCACACTGGAAATGAAGCATGAATGCAGGGCATATCACTGAAGACTGGAGGCGGAATGGAAGATAGCCTAGAAGTGGGTGATACATAAAGAGAAACACCCACAAAGTTCAAAAATGGCAGCACTGCAACAGAAGAGCGGTGAGTAAATCTCTATATGTTACATTGAATACATCATGTATCTTTAATATATATCATGTATTCAATGTAAATTTTAGTGATATAAGATAAGTTTATTTTTTGACAACAGGTTCACTTCAAAGACAGAAAATAAATAAAAATCACTGCTACACCAGAAGAAGACAGCTGCCCTTTACTGTACAATTCAATTTGGTAGGGAGCTGAAATATAATTGAAGTCCACCTGGCCCCATAAGGTATGGACATACACTCCCCACTTCCATACATTCTCCTATAAGTAGGATGGGTTTAATAATGTTGAGGTGGGCATATACAGGACCAATCATTCCTTCCTGCATTAAGTCAGCTGTGGTCTCCCACTATTTCCACACTCAATGTACAATGTGGGTTTAATGTATGGAGCCAATCCTACCCAACTTCATCACCCATTATAACTCTAAATATTATATCATAAAATATTAGATCATAATATAGATTTTTCCATTAGTAACTTCCAAAAACACTTAGTTCTCAGCAATAACAGCACTTTTTTTATTCTAAAAGATACGTTCTATATTTTTCATAATTACTTGTACTTGATGTTTAATTTTATTTTCCAGACCTTTTATTGCAAGCAAAAACATTGACTTTCACCAGGAGCTTGTCAGGGTGAATCATATACCATTCAACTGCCTGTGTCTGCATTAATATCAATTCCTCACAGCAACACTTGTGAGAGATATCACAGCTCCTCTACAAGGTAAAAGAACAAAGTTATTTTATGCAGCATGCCTCCGTTTGATATAGGTTTGACACAGTACATTAGCTATTAAATTGAAATGTAACAATTCATACTTTGTACAACAAACATTGCTTTAATTTTACAATGGGACACATGGGATGATTAAAATAAAAGGGACTTTAAAACTACATAACTTAAATAAAATTTCACGCATTGTATGCCCTTTTGATAGATGATTTACGTCTACGTCATTCCCTTTAAATGTGTGTGTTGGGGGTCCTTCTATAGTCTTCATGACAAAGAGCCAATAAAATAGATTATCATTTTAAATACATCAAGGACTTTAGTAAAGAATAAAAATGGGCACAGGTATAGTTTTTTTTTGGGGGGGGGGAGTTTGAAGTGGAATTGGTTCATTTGATTTAGAAGTATAACTGCAGCTTGTAAAATCACCAATTTTAAAAGATAGGGTGTGATTTAGAGAGTTGCTACTGAGATGAGTATGTCATATGATTTTTATTTGTGCTGGTTTTAATCTGAGTTTTGTGTTTTTATATAAAGTATAGTTGTATGTGGTATGGTCTACACAGTGGAGGCTCAAACACATGGAAAATTGGGGCAGCTCTCCACAAGTTTTCATGTGACACAAAATGAATTTGCAGTAGTTTATGACCATTAGGATTTTTGGGAGTGTAAGCAAAATAATATGAAAAAAGTAGATTAACATACTCAGGCCTTTGCCTGTGTGTGACAAAACATTAAAAAAAATCTATGTCTCTTTAATTCTGTAATCGAGTTCACTACTGTAGAGATCAATCCACCCTGCTTGGTGTCTATCTGTGTTAGCTTTCTTAAGATCAACTAGGCATAGCAAAATAGATTTTAAATCTGCTCTTTTTTAGTAGGTTTTGCACATGCCTAGTTTCATTAGTAAGGAATTTCGGGGACATTCCATTGAGTTGCCATGTCACTGTAATGTCATAGACTTAGAATTGGGCAAGACACCTAATGATATACACTGTGCCCACCTCAATAATATGAGAGCAACCTGAACAAAGAGTGTCATGCCGGCTTGGCCGTCGCCCGGATTACCAAGATCCACGTCAGATGCTAGGGAACCAGAGCAATCTAACAAGTGGGCTACTGGAACAAATCATTCCTGGACATGAAACGAGCATCTAGACTTGCTTGAATGCTACTATAATAGCAAGCCAAATGAGAGAGACTACATGAAATGTATGTGGGAGTTATGGATGAGCAAGAGACCATCATCTACCCTAACACCAAAACGGCTGGATCATAGAAAAGCTAGAATCTCCTGACCAGCAGACAAGACTGCCGAAGATCACTGGAAGACCACCTGATAGCATGCTAGCTGCAGTTAATGATGCACTGTCGACAATCCCAACATGCACCATCACAGAGACTAACAGGCTCATATTTGCCACAGCATTAGTGATCCTCCAGCTGTTTGACTACAAGATGAGGCCAAAAGAGAAGCAATGCCCACCATGGAGACTACGACTGGAAGCCAAGATAACACGGAAGGAAGTTAAGCTGGATCAAAGAATGATCAAAGATAGATCCTGGCTGCTGTGGAAATACAAGGATATGCCCATACCAGAGGCGCTGGAAACAGCTAAGCAAAGACTGACAGCACTGGCAACAAGACTGAGCAGATACACCAGAGAAGCAGAGGCTAAAAGAATCAATGCCTCTTTACCAAAGAACCATCCAAGGTATATGCACAGCTGGAAGGTAACCACCACATCCACTTACCGGCATATCTAGGAGAAAGAAGCATCTCATAACACTGAGGCCCAGTGGCTACTTGACCTGAAAGCACACCACTGCATCTGCCAGAACAGGAGCCAGTCACCATCACAGTCGAAGATATTCAACAGCGCGCAGAAGACATGAAGAGTTGGTCAGCCCCAGACCTGACATGATCCACACCTACTGGATAATGAAACTAACAATGCTGCATGTATGCCTAGCAGCACAAATGAAGTAGTTACTAGCAACAAGCTCCCACCCTGAATGGCTAACACAAGGCAAAAACTTACTGATATTGAAGGACCCTTACAAGGCAACAACACCATCCGACTACCGTCCAATAACCTTCCTCCCCACAACATGGAAACTCCTGTAAGGAATCATAGCTGCCAAGATCCAAGGGCATATAAGTCAATATATGAGCAATACTCAGAAGGAGATTGAAAACAACACCAGAGGATCAAAATACCAACTACTGGCAGACCAAGCAGTCACAAGGGATTCTAAGACCAGACAGACCAATCTGTGCACGGCCTGGAATGACTACAAGAAAGCCTATGACACAATGCTACACAATGCTACACACATACAAGGTCAACAAGACAATGAGAGCCTTCATCAATAACTCGATGGACAAGTGGACAACAACTCTAGAAGCCAATTCAAGGACAATAACACAAGTGAACATCATATGTGGCATATACCAAGGTGATGCACTATCACCAATGCTGTTCTGCATTGGCCTCAACCCCTTTAGCCAGATCATCAAGAAGAGTGGATACAGGTTCAAGAGTGGAGCTACCATCAGCCACCTACTCTACATGGACGACATCAAGTTGTATGCCAAGAATGAGCGGGACATTGACTCACTGATACAGCAAGGACATCAGAATGTCATTCAGACTAAAGAAGTTCTGGCGGATAATAGCAAAAAGAGGAAAGATGATCAGGACAGAAGGAGTTTAAGTTCCAGATGGCCAAATAGAAGACGTATAGAACAGTCACAAGTTCTATAAACCCTATGGGGTTCTACAAACTCATGGCAACCATGAGGAAGATGCCAGGAGGATAGCAACATCCAAGTTCCTCGAAGAGTCAGAGAGGTCCTGAAGTCCCAGATCAATGGCAAGAACAAGATCCAAGCCATCAACACATACCGGTCATCAGGTACCCAGCTGGAATAATAATGGGGCGAAGAGAAGAACTGGTCACCATGGATGTCAAGACCCGGAAGCTATTCACTATGAATGGAGGATTCCCCCCAAAATACAGCACCCAGAGACTGTACACCAGCCGGAAGGAAGGAGGTGGGGACCTGTTGAGTGTCAAAGCCACAGTCCTGGATGAAACACAGAGCATCCACAAGTAAATCACGACGATGGCTCCCAAAGATGAGGGAATGCCTGAGACAACAACAGAGGATGCAGAAAAAGAGGAGGCAAAACAAACCTCTCCATAGCGTGCACCACCGGCAGATAGTGGATGTAGCTCTAATGACAAAATCCTACCAGTGGTTGGAAAATGCAGGACTGAAAGACAGCACTGAGGCACTAATCCTGTGTGTGTGTGTGTGTGTGTGTGTGTGTGTGTGTGTATATATATATATATATATATATATATACACACACACACACCACCCTCAGGGACCCCTCCCGCCCAGCTCTGGGGAAAGGGGGAAAAACTTACCTTTTTCCAGCGCTGGGTGGGGAGCTCTCCTCCTCCGATCCTCCTCCTCTCCTCCCCGTCGGCTGAATGCTCATGCAAAAAAATGAAAAATTTAGCTAGGTTAAAACAAGATGGAAGTCTGGGGAGTCTAGAGATAATGCAAAGCTACACGGCAAGCAGACTCTTCCACATTGTGCTCACCCAGAATAAGATGGCCACCAAAGAAATCTGGTACAATATGGAAAAGATAAAAACAGGGGTAAACAATTTGTCATCACTATTCTGGATTTTAGACCTGAATAAAAAAGCGATCAAAGATGCATGGAGTAAATCACAAATACTCGCAGACCTAACAAATTGGTGGGACAAAATCACATCTAACATAGGCTTGAGAAACAAAATTATAGAGGAGCTCCCAATTTCAGTGTTTCCAGACATGCTGGAAAATCTAAAAATGGCTAACTGGGAAACCAGGGGGATCAAGGAAATTAAGAACATAATAGTGGAGAAAAAATAAAACCCTTTAGGCAAATGCTAGAGGAATTCAACATCCCTGAAAATTAAACTATTTGAGAATTAAAGGACCACTATAGTGCCAGGAAAACATACTCGTTTTCAGCCAGTCTCATAGGAAAGCATTCACAATGCTTTCCTATGGACGCTGGAGTCTTCTCACTGTGATTTTCACAGTGAGAAGCACGCAAACGCCTCTAGCGGCTGTCAATGAGACAGCCACTAGAGGCTTTAGAGGCTGGATTAACCCATTTATAAACATAGCAGTTTCTCTGAAACTATGTTTATAAAAAAAAAAGGGTTAATCCTAGAGGGACCTGACACCCAGACCACTTCATTAAGCTGAAGTGGTCTGGGTGCCTAGAGTGGTCCTTTAAGGGTTTTATATCTGAATACCTAGATAAACACAAGGAGGAGGAAAACTTAAAGCTGGATTTAATCATAAACATTTAATGACAAAATGTGTTAAAGTTAGATACGGATGGAGGCACGACAAACCAATAGGCCTGATCAAAAAATGGGAAGAAGAACTGCAAGTTTCTATAGAAGAAGAGGACTGGAAAAGCTCTCTAAATAAAGTTTATAATTACATACACTGTTTAAATCTTACAGAAACACAATTTAAGCTAGCCAATAGATGGTATATGACACCTAAACATCTAAACAGAATTTTTCCGGAGACATCCGTTAGATGTTGGAAATGTAATGCTAACGAAGGCGATTTAATCCACACTTGGTGGAATTGACCTCTGATAAAACAATTCTGGAAGAAAGTACCGAAGCTTATTGACCAAACAACTGGAAAGAAAATGAATTTTAAACCAGAAGTATCCTTATTAAACTTAAGATGGCCCAGAATGCCAAAGAATGAACAAATGGTGATTATAAATATCATCACGGCCGCCAAACTCTTATTAGCACGCAATTGGAAAACACCGACAATTCCACATATCCAAGAATTATAATCTAAGGTGACTTGGCAAGCGAAAATGGAAAGGGGCATACTAACGAATCTGAGAAATAGATATACCCAGATAGAAGACTGGGATATATGGATTAATAAATTAGAATCTTTAAACCTAAGAAGCGGTATAGTGAAGGATTTAAAGGGCCTCCGAAGACCCCCAGAAACGGGAAAATAATATAAGGAAAAAATACTACAGTAGTTAGAATAGTGGGTTCTCTCTCTCCAAACCAGGAAGTTAAATAGACCAGCAAGGCAACAGCTACCATAGGAAGTCACAAGGGTGAGGTGGGAGGCAATAGAGTTTTATCAATTATCTCCTCCGGTGATTCCTTTCAATCTTTTTACTTGATTCAATAATACAATAATTAATTAGGAAAGGAATATATATATATATATATATATATATATATATATATATATATATATAAATATATGTAAATATATGAATGGGATGGGTAGGAATATTAATGATGACAAGATACCGAGGCAAAAAGTAAGAAGCTCTACGCTTTCCACATATGCCAGGTATATGTCTGAAAGAAAAAAAAGAAAAAAAAATGATTATTCCAAAGGTGTGCCTTAGGCTGGCCACAATAAAAGGCCACTTAAAAATGTGCAGTTTTATCACACAGCACAATGCCACAGATGTTGCAAGTTTTGAGGGAGCGTGCAATTGGCATGCTAACTGCAGGAATGTCCACCAGAGCTGTTGCCCGTGAATTGAATGTTCATTTCTCTACCATAAGCGGTCTCCAAGGCGTTTCAGAGAATTTGGCAGTACATCCAACCGGCCTCACAACTGCAGACCACGTGTAACCACACCAGCCCAGGACCTCCACATCCAGCATCTTCACCTCCAAGATCGTCTGAGACCAGCCACAATCGATTTGCATAACCAAAGAATTTCTGCACAAACTTTCAGAAACCGTTTCAGTGAAGCTCATCTGCATGCTCGTCGTCCTCATTGTGGTCTCGACCTGACTGCAGTTCATCATCGTAACCGACTTGAGTGAGCAAATGGCGTCTGGTACTTTGGAGAGGTGTTCTCTTCACAGATGAATCCAGGTTTTCACTGTACAGGGCAGATGGCAGACAGCATGTATGGCGAAGTGTGGGTGAACGGTTTGCTGATGTCAACATTGTGGATCGAATAGCCCATGGTGGCTGTGGGGTTATGGTATGGGCAGGCGTATGTTATGGACAACGAACACAGGTGCATTTTATTGATGGCATTTTGAATGCACAGAGATACTGTGATGAGATCCTGAGGCCCATTGTTGTGCCATTCATCCACGACCATCACCTCATGTTGCAGCATGATAATGCACAGCCCCATGTTGCACGCGGCTCGAGCAAGCTTCTTCCTACTGGCAGGCTGCGCGCGCCCAACACTCTGATTGGACGCGTACAGTACAGTATTGAGAACGCTGCTCGCATCGCGAGTACGTTCTTAAAGGGGAAATGGGAGCCTAACCTTGCGGTCGGCTCCCATTGGCCCACGCCATTCTGGCGCCCTCATCCACGCACATTTTGGGGTGCAGGCCTGACGTGGACCAGTCAAATTAAAAACAAAGGTATTTAAACTTACCTGACCATAGATTCTGTGCCCTATTGTTGTTTTTTGTTCCCAGTACCCATTAGTGCGTTTCTTGTGATTAGTATTGTATTCTGATATTGACCTTGGCCTAGTTTCCTGACTCTGAGTTTCTCTTTTACCCTCTCCTGTCTTGTTTGCCCTTCTAATTATTACGGTGTACCTGACTCTAGCAAGTTCTCATTTTCGCTGTCTCTCCATTACCCTGACTTAGGCTCATATTTCAACGTATTTTCTCTGTCTAACGTTAAGGCCGGCCACTCTAAGGCCCGGTAAGACGTTTATATTTCTTCTGTCTATTCCTTGCTATCCTAAACTCTGCGTGTTAGGGTTAACACTCCATGACAGCATGGCCAGCATAGTCACCTGACATGTCACCCATAGAGCATGTTTAGGATGCTCTAGATCGGCGTATACGACAGCGTGTTCCAGGTCTTGCCAATATCCAGTAACTTCGCACAGACATTGAAGAGGAGTGGACCAAAATTCCACAGGCCACAATCAATAACCTGATCAACTCTATGTGAAGGAGATGTGTTGCACTGCGTGAGGAAAATGGTGGTCACATCAGATACTGACTGGTTTTTGGACTTTGTGAACAATATTTAAGAGAAATAGGCCTTTTTGTGTACAAAGAAAAAGTCTTAGATCTTTGAGTTCAGCTAATGAAAAATGGGGGCAAAAAAAAAAGTGTTGCATTTATAATTTTGTTCAGTGTATAATATAGCAATTAAAAGCTTTAATTATTTATTTTATTGATTTCAGCTTTGGGGGACTGCCTGACAACCCAGGCAGCTCCACTGCAGGCAGTTGTGTAGACTCCAATTCTGGCCATGTGATCACAATGTCATCGCGATCACATGGTCTGGGAGGGCCAGATTAGATGACAACCCAGGCAGTGCCCTCAACCGGTATCGTAAAGGAAGGTGAGTAAAATATTCCAAAAGGGCTGCAAACATTTAGGGCATACCATGCCACCCTAACAACATTAAAGCCCACTTTTTTCAGGACGGCAAGGCACGCCCTAACAGTATTAATGGGTTAATATGTCAAGATAGTTGGACTGAAACACTGATTATGCTAATGCATGTCTGCTAAAAAATCTTCTGTTTTGTTTATTTTGAAGCCCTATGAATATTAGTTTTAAATTTTAAGCTATTTTTTTCACCTCTATATCTACACACTGTACTGGCACAACAAGTTATTGGGCTGGTGTGTAATATTTTTCCAGGGCTGCATTTAGTTGCCAGTTCAACCCTGCATTAAAGACCCCTGTAATGCAAAACAGCTCTTTATTTACTGTACCTTCCTGAGTGAATGTTGTACTTTGACCTCATTTGTTGATTCTGTATTCTTTTGTTGACCTGTTTTGACAAAAAAAATAAAAAAATCCTAATAAACTTAGTTACAAAAATTGTTAATTTTATTAAATTTTTTTTTAGATTTTGGAAAGGCAGCCATCTATGTTAACGCAATCAGATCAAGTTTGCATGCTGAAGTATTAGATAACTATACAGATCTAGCACAAAACCACAATTATTCTAAATATTTGGTAACTTATGAAAAACAATTTCATGCTAACCGCGGCTTGACAAACAGTTGCTGCTATTTCAATTACAAAGTGCCTGAAGGGAAGACATTTTTTTTCCCTTACCAAAATTAAAAAGCTACTTTCAGAAGTCGGATGATTCCTTTAGTCTGATTAGGTTAAAAAAAAAAAAAATCATTAGCATATAAAGCACTTCTAGATTTTAACAGCATTCTGAGTGTTTTTGCTCTGTGTTGACTTGATTCAGATGAAATTCAGAGACAGTTATTTCATGTAATGTCATTTTCTCCATATTAGCTTCAGGAACGGCATCTCTTCAACCCATTAACTGTCAATACATGTATAACCAATGTTAATAGCT